TTTTTTCCCCCCCCTTTTTCTCCCCATTTTTCACAAAATACACTGGATGGAAACAGTTCCTATGGGTTCCTGTGGCTTCGTGAGGGGAGCCTCGCGGCGATGGGGATACAAGCCACTGTTCAAGCCGAGACGACGGAGCTGCCAGGGGCGGTGTTTCAGATCAAGACTTTGCCTGCGAAAATAGCTGGCCTCTCTCTCCTTTTCATCGTTGATCATAGCTGGGCCTAGAGACAGGACAAGCATTGGGTTTTGAAACTTTATGAACAGCATCATCCCGGGTTTAAAGGTGCATATGGGAGTTTTGGAGTTCAAAGGAACGGGCGGGGTAGTGATACCTAATGGATTCTTATGAGAGGGGGTTTGACTGAATTATAATTTTTTATCTCTATATCTAATTTGTTGTGTTGCTGTGACCACCTGATGACTTTATATCATGGCCTCAAATCTTTAGAGACGATATCAGTGTGAAATTACAATGTCTTTGCGAGAATAGTATCTACCTTTTGCTTGTCCACACACACACGCACACACACACACACACATACAAACACCTTTCACATTGTCTCTCTCCTCACCATTATTTCCTAGCCCCGTTCTGTCAAGCTAGATAGGATAGACTGAAGAGTGTATACAGATATAGGATTTGGAGGACCAGGAAGAGGTCAATGTTAGGGTACTGAAGAGGTAGAAAATTCGAGATATATGCTCCATATTTGACCTCGATTATCTACCAGCCCCTCTACACATGTACCCGCAGCTGCATACTCTCTCATGCATGTCACCCATTTGCTGCCATGCCAATGCTTGGAATGATCCTCTCACACAGTACAGACTCGACAGATCCTCACCCCCCATACCCACCCATATATGACTACCAAGAAAAGACACCCACACCTAACACTGAACACCTCCTCATCCACACCATGTTCCCTAACTGCAGACAAGTTCACACTGTGCTCAAAGAGGAATAACCGCGTATATTATGTAAAACTAGCAAAGACTACACTCTATATGCTCCCCCCAACCCCCTTGTCGACTCCACAACCTCCCCCGTCCTTCCAACCGTCTAGAAGGATCTCAAGAGTTCACAAGGCACTCCTGCCAGCCTTATCGCTTAGTCATGAACGCAGACGATGCCCTTTACAACCTAAAGAGAGAGAGAAAGACCAATCAGCTACCCTGTTTCTGTTACAAATTCAAACAGTGCATTTCTATTTGTTTGCTCTCTATCGGGGGGTCGTTGTCACACATTCATCACTCTGAGCTCCAGCACAAACAAACAAAAGCCACGAAAGAAGTTACTTGGTAAACTACACATGGCTTGTCGCGCGCGAAGAGAGGTAGGAAAGAGAAAAGAAAAAGAAACTTTTGGGTATGGGGGTTTGTTTACTTCTGGGGAGGGTTGTGGGCGAAGGTGACACCCTTTGAGATGTTGCCCTTGAGACCAGACACGGCGGCCGCGAGGAGGGCCTTCTCCTTCTCGGTGATGTCGCCAAGGATGTCAATAGCCTTCTCGGCACCGTTGGGCTATTCGCTTGTCAGCATAAGAGGTCAAGACTGGGGGGGGGGAAGACATACACCGAGCTCAATGGGGACGGAGAAGAAGTCGACACCAGTCTTCTCGGCAATCTCCTTACCGCCGGGGACACCGGGGAGGTAGACGTAGCTGGGCTCAACGAGGCCCTTGGCACCAGCAGCAGCCTTCAGGAGCTTCTCAGCGAATCTGGTATGTGTGTCAGCAATAGCCCAACCTCTTTCTCTGATGATTATGCTCACCTGTAACCGGCATAGGCCATGGAGAGGGTGGCAGAACCGGCACCATCCTTGGCCTTGACGACCTCATCACCACCGAACTGGACGCGGTTGACAAGAGCATCGTACTTGTCATCGGGGATGGTGACGGAAGGAGTGACCTTGCTGAAGAGAGGGACGATGGTCTCGCCGGAGTGACCACCAATAACGGGTACGGTAAGCTCTTGAGGGTTGGCCTTGCCGACGATCTCAGCAACGAAGGTCTCGGCGCGGACGATGTCGAGGGTGGTGACACCAAAGAGGCGCTGGGCGTTGAAGACACCCTTGGACTTGAGGACCTCGGCGGAGATGGGGACGGTAGAGTTGACGGGGTTGGAGATGACAAGGATGAAAGCCTTGGGGGCGACCTCGGCGGCAACCTCGATGAGGCCCTTGACGATACCAGCGTTGATGTTGAAGAGATCGTCACGGGTCATGCCGGGCTTGCCTAGAGTGGGGGGTCATCGTCAGCACTTATGCGCCGGGACAGCAGCACGGCACCAGTCGGACGTACGGGGAATGCCAGCGGGGATGACAATGATGTCGGCATCCTTGAAGGCGGCCTTGGCGCCGTCATTGGCGGGAAGGTAGCCGGTGGTTTTCTGTTTGCGGCAAAGGTCAGCCGGAGTTCGCGGGCTCGCGGTTCGCGATTGTGTCTGTCACTTACCGCCTTGGAGGAGATGTGGGACAAGTCGGCAGCGACACCGGGAGTGTTCACAACATCGTACAGGGCGAGCTCGTCAACGAGCGGGGAGAGGCTCAGAAGAAGGGAGAGCGGCTGCGGACGTCCGGTCAGTAATGCCGCTCAAACATGACGGCGATGGTAGTGACGGAGGAAGCTATACCTGACCAATACCGCCAGAGGCACCAGCAACCACTATTCCCAATGTTAGACTCCCGTCTCGTTTTCCATGCCAGTTATGCGCGCATGTTGCGCTGTTCGGGCAAACACTTACCGGCCTTGACCATCTTGAAAATATAAAGGGGATATAGAGGGGTAGCTGTTGAGCGCAATGTGATTGTCAGCTTTGCGGTGTTTCTGAGAAGGAGATAAAGGGGGTTCAGACTCAGCAATGAATCACATGGGAATACCTACAATGAAGGCGAGTGCGTAGGGGCTGTTAGAGTTAAAATCTAACGGTCAATGGATTGGGATGGTGGGAATCTGGTTGAGCTGGATCCGGGAGAAGGGGGAAGCTTGGGGGGCTCAAGCTTAAGTAGAGTTGGCGGGGTTATGCTTGGCTGACCGCGATCCCGTGTCGTCAGTTGCCCCGCGTTCCTCCCCCTCAGCCGGCATCTTGCTGGGGTGCCAGGGAGGGGTCCGTTACTATTGCCGGAGGGCCAAGTGTACAACAGTGTGTCACAGAAACAAGAGGCGAGCAAAGACGCCATCGGCCTATTCGGGGAGACTCCCGCCTGGAAAAACTCAATTGACGCATCCCCTTTTGCTGCCCTCCCTCAGTTACCACAGCTACCACAGCCGTGATACGTCTCCGTCGGTCAATCAGTCCTCAGTCGCGAACAACTCGCGGCACGGGCCGGCCATGACTGCGGGAACTGGCCGACATGTGGGTTCCGAGGCCCGACACTCGGGTACTGGACTCGGGCAAGATCGGGATGCATTCCATGTTTTGAATCCCAAACAGGCTCGTGAGAACCCGCCGGCGGGTTCAATGGCTGTTTTCATAAATAAATACCCCTGAACCAAAAGACACCTTTTACACTACATATGTCGTCACTTGAGCTCGTCGATTCCTCAGCGAATGATCATTATGAATGCCTCGTATATTGACCGCAACACCGCCCGTTGGCTGCAAAACAGATCCCGACTGAGTGGGTGATCCTCTGTTTGTGGATATCAAACGCCATGCCCATTCCTGAATGCAAGATTTGACAATCCGTCCCTGTCCCAATTTTGCCCCGGCATCCCATTCGTGTCATGCAACTCTCTGTCTACCCGAGGAGTTGCGGACTCAACATCAGAGCTTTATAAACGTTTTCCCTTTTTTTCCCGTTTCCATCCTTTACTCGGACTTCTCGGCGGCCTTCTTGGCGGCGTTGCCACGGAGCTTGGGCTCGGGGGAGGGCTTCACGGGTCTCTGAGAAGCACGGATGGCGGAGGCGCGGGCAACGGCGACCTGGCGGAGATCGCCACGGTACTTGGCGGTCTGCTTGGCAATAGACTTGTAGGTCCTGTAAATCCATCACTGTCAGCATGGCTGGCGATACCCTCACTTCGAGTGGGTTGCTACTGACTTGCGGTTGGCCTTGGAGGCGCCAATGGTAGAGACGGTTCTGCCGGAGGCGGGCTTGTTGCCAGCGGACACCTTCTTGGAGATGACCTGGATAGTGTTGTTCTCACCGGCAACGACACCGATAGCCTAACCCATGTATATATCAGTTCCTGTTGACTCCTTCACTCGTATCTTATCGTACCTTGTCGTTGACGTAACCAGCGTACTTGCGGGAGTGGACGTTGGTGAGGTTGAGGGGGTCGCGGGAGAACTGGATACCACCGCTCTCCTTGCGCTTCACGAGGAAGGCGTTCTGGAGGCCTTTGTGTGTGCATTTTCGTTAGCTGGGGCTCGCTTCAAGGTTCGTGACGGATTCTCGGGCCAGACATACGGGTAACCTCCCAGATGAGATCAGCAGAGACGTTGGACATTTTGGCGGTGTGTGGGTGGTTTGGGGTTGGGCGAGGCGGTTCGAGTGAAGTCGTCTGCGAAATCGTTTCGTGATCTTCATATTCGAGCATCCTCCCCCACGGATTATTAGCACAACATAGATCGATTGTGGAAATCCTTTATGAAACAGGCCTCTTTATT